TTTTTTCTCTAGCGTCATAAATAATTAGAGTTTAATATTCTTCAACTTTATATATATCAATAATTTTTTAAGGGTTTAAATTAAATTAATATTATTATTCTCTATAATGAAACACTGAGAATTTGAGACAATACACACCCTATAATGCATGTTTGTCACTGTTTATTTATTTATATATATATATATATATATATATATATATATTATATTTGCATATGACTCTATCAATAATCAATATGATATTGTTTAGTAATATTTAGTAATATGATACCAGTTTTCTCACTCTCCGGAAGTAAAATTTAGTAATAAAGCTATGTTGTTACTGCATATGAATTGCTTGAACTTTATTTCCATTCTTTTTTAATCTTTGTTGGCAATATTTAGTAATATGACTTTATTACTTTATATCTAAGTATGATTTTTTATCTTTTATAATCTACATATGTTATTAATAATCAATATTTAGTAATATGACTTTGTTATATGACTTTTTATCTTTTATAATCAACAAATGTTATCAATAATCAATATTTATTTTCATTATGTTACTAAACTTTATTATTGTTATATATAGAATGTTTAACCCAACAAGATTCTAATCCTACGCAAGAAGACTCTATTATGCAAACTTCATCAAATGAGGGGAGTCAAATTATGCCCATATGAATGTGAAAACAAGTGCAAATCAATCTGATACTCAACACTTCAATTTTATTACAAATATTATACTAAATGATATCGATGATGATTGTGTTAGTAAATTTATTGATGTTCTTATCTATAAAGATAATTGTTATATCTTTAAATTGTATGTTATTGATGGAGGGATCATAGACATTTGATATGTTATTGTCTTATTTTAAATTATGGTCTTAGTAAAAATATATTTGTATTTAAGTACAATTTAAAGTTGTGACTTATGTTTTATAGTTTTTTAATCATTTGTTTCTTCTTTTATTCTCACACGTTGGATTATAATTTTTTTACAATTTATAATTTTTTTGCAATTTTTTAAATATAATGTGAATTTTTGGGTACCCGTAGATCCGTTGGGTACCCATAGACCCATGGCTAGCAGACCCGACGAGTATCTGCCTGGGTCTGGGGCGGGTCTGAGTCCCAAAATGAAAGAATGGGGTGGGTCCGGGTAGTGTACTACCCGGACCCATCTAGACTTACTACCATCCTTAATGAAGAGCACACTAGACATACCGACTTCTACATTGAAGTCGGTTTAAGATAAAGTTACTTCAGAATTGAAGTTATTTCAGGGCATACTGAAGAAGTCGGTTTAAAATAATGTAACTTCACAAGTAAAGTTTTTTTTATGACATACCGACTTCTTCATAGAAGTTGGTTTATAATATAGTAACTTCAGATGAAGTTTAAATTGCTTGTGCCGACTTCTGTAAGTGAAGTTTTTTAGGGATTATTAACTTCTAACTAGAAGTCGGTTTATGAGTGTTTAACTTCATTTAGTATGTTTGTTTTGTGTATACCGACTTCGCTGTGTATGTTTTATAAATGAACTTTCGATACACAATGTGGTTCATTGTTGTATGCGAAAATATATTTTAGTACAAAGAGATTGAAGATGTGAATTTGAATTTAAAAGCTTTGTTTCATATTTATGCGTTAATGTTATATATTTGTTATGATAAATTTATAATTTTTTACATTTTATTTTGTTAGATGGAAGAAGAAATGAACATCAATCATGAAACCTATACACTTATGTTATGAAATTTAGTTTTTGTGTATTGTTTACACTTATGTTAATCATTATTTTTTATATTGATTTTAGGCTTTTTTTATATATTGATTTTAGGATTTAGATGAATGTAATGGTAGTGAAGATGATAATGTGAATGAAATAGAGGGGTTAGATTTCGAAAAGATTGATTTTCTATTATTAAATGTAAATGAAGTGAAGAAATATCGATTTTTAAACAATGATATCATATACAAATTTTATAAGATGTATGGTATGAAGAAATGATTTGAGATTAGAAAATATCATACTCGGCGAGACAAGGATGTTGAAATTTTATGGCAATCGTTTTTTTGTGATAGAGAATGATTTAGAGATAAGAAAAATGAATATGTTCGGAAGAGGGCGCCTAGAAAAGAGACTAGATGTGGTTGTTTAGAAAAAATGAAAATTCACATTGACAAATGAAAAGGAGATTGGTATGTTAATTATTTTGTTGATGAACATAGTCATTAACTGATTAGTGAACATTATGGTGCGATGATAGACTCTAACCGAAGTATGACAAAGACAGACGTGAGTCAGATGAACACAATGAGAGAAGTGGACATTGGGACAAGAAAAATATTTGGTCATTTTGCTGGTCAATGTGGGGTTATCAGTATATTGGGTTTTCTAAGAAGGACATGTATAATCAAATTCAAAAGCAAAGAAAAATCGAAAATGGAGATGCGAAAACAACATTAGAATACTTAAAGAAGCAATCAAAATCAGATTGTATAATGTATTTGAGACATATTGTAGATGAAGAATGTAAGTTGCAACAATTATTTTAAGCAAATGGATGTAACATTTTCGACTACTCAATTTTTGGAGATGTTGCTTTTGATACAACTTATGGTCGAAACAAATATAAGTTTCTAGTTGTCATATTTTCTGGTGTATATCATCACAAACAAACAACTTTGTTTGCTGCTATTGTTGTGTCAAATGAGACAGGGGAAACATATGTATGGCTTCTAGAGAAATTTTTGGAGGCAATGGATGTGAAACAACCAAAGTGTGTTATCACTTATGGTGATTTGTCGATGAATAATACAATTAGAAGAGTTTTTCCCAAGTCCCCCATAGGCTGTGTGTTTGGCATATTTGTAACAACGCTGAAAAATATAAAGAAGAATAATTTTCGTAAGAATTTCCAAAAAAGTTATGTATGCTGATGTAGAGTGGTGATTTTAATATGATGTGGGAGGAACTTATTAACAAGCATATACTTCATAACAATGCATGAGCGACTCAAATTTTTTATTGCAGAAGTATGTGGGTTAGGTCTTACATTCGTAGAAAGTTCTATCCTAGTTTGCATACTACATCACATTGTGATGCCAAGTAGTCATTGTGTTTTTGTGTTACTAATTCTGGACATATCACAATTGACATTTTGTTTGGTCCTTGATAGATAGACAAAGAAAGCTTTGAATGATGGTTGCAGAGTGTTATGTAACTTTGCTTGCAAAACGGATGAAGACTTTACTGAGATGCTGGAAAAAAATATATAATGAATCTAGTATACTGTGATTGAAACAATTGGAATGGAAAATGTTGACAATGATACTGAAGAGCAAGTACGAGATCTAGTTCGAGTGCAAGCTAAAAGGCGAGCACCTGTGATGAGCAAAAGAGGTAAGTAGGGTAATCAATGTGGTATATGTCGAGAATTTAGCCACAATAGAGCAAATTATCCAAATGTTGTTGAGTGTTGTAGTCAGATTTTTGAAAATGATTTTGATGAAAAATAATTAATACTTTTATGTGTAACTATTGTAATTTTATTTAATTCATTAGATTAGTGATACACAATTAATAATTCCATGTGAACACACAATTATTAATTCCATGTGAATACACAATTATTAGTTCCATGCCAAAAGATAGTAGAACATTTAGCAAATTAACATGTTTCTAATATTTTAAATCAAATTAATACATATTTCCCATAATGTTTAGCAAAAAAAAACTATTAAAACATAGTCATACAAAATGAAGTCTCATATTATTTAGCAAAATAATTACATCACATGTTTCCCCAAAAAGCAAAAAAAAAAAAAAGTGTATAGTCTTCAAATGAAAGGTAATTTAGACCACATCAATATGGCTTTGCTCCTCACTTCATTCTTTAAAAAATCACATAATACCAAAAGCTGAAGTCAGTTTGGACTTTTACAACATTCTATTGGCAAGTAGTGTGATCCAATAATATTTTCTACAAAAATTATGTTATTCATACTTAAAAAAGGTGTAATAGGTACTACTCTTTACTTTAAATTTAAAAATTTCATCTCTATTTCACAACACTTTAAATACATCTATCTCTCTATTCTAAAAAAAATTTAAGCAGTACCGACATAGATCATCATTCATAAATTATTCAGTTATATTACATTGAATGATGATTATATTAGTCTTGTAATCTAAGCAATTGTAAATGAGTCATTATAATAGGAGATAAACTTTTTTTAGTATAAAAAGATAGATGTATTAAAATTGTTACGAAATAGAGATGAAATTTCTCAATTTAAACTAAGGAATAGTACCTACTACACTTTTTCAAGTACCAATAACAAAATTTGTGCAAAAATATTAGGAATAAAGTGAAAATCAAAGTCACATTGATGTGATCCAAACTAACTTTCATTTGAAGAATGTATACACCTTTTTTTTTTTTTCATTTTAGGAAACATTCGATGTAATTATTTTGTCATGAAAAATCATTTTATACGACTATGTTTTAATAGTTTTTTAGGTTAAAAATTATGGGAAAATGTATTAATTTGCATAGGAAGCAACTAAGATTAAGAGGTTAACGTTTTTCATTTGAAAATACATTGGATTTTAACCCCAAAAAAAATGTGCCCATTGCAGTAGCCTTGTATTTAGGATATTAAATACAACAAAATATCTTCTTCCACTCACAAACTTTATGAAAAGTTACGCATGTTACCCCAGAAGTCAAACAAAACAAAAAAATTTATTTATCATTCTCGCATGAGGATTTCCTTCAATGTAGAAACTTGTATGCTACGCATGATATAAGATTTACATATTAAAAAAACACAAATGAAAAACTATTTTTTAAGGTAAACAAAATAGATATGTTTTTAAAATTATATCAAATTCTATTTTAAAACAAATTGACATGAAAGGAATAACACTAAATCAATAAGATTTACATATTAATGTTTTTAAAATCATTCACACCCAAATGTCATATCAAAATAACACTAAATGAAAATGTGAGATGGAATCAGTAGACGAATGAGAGTGAAAAAACCCACCACCTGTGGATACCATCACTACGGTTGTCTGGCCGCTGCCCAATTACAACACAAACAATATTTCCAATTAATAAAAACATTTCCTTTTCTGTTCAAAACAAAAAAGAAAACATGTTCATCAGAAATAAGCAGTAGTTATAATCAAGCTTTCTCTGTCTGCACTGAGCCTTCAATGAGAAAACAATGCACAAATGTTTCCTCACATAAATTATACTCAGTGCAACAATACAAACATTACATCAAAATAAAATAAAAAGACATAACATAATAGATAAATAAAAGAGAAACTTGTAGGGCTCATATCAAGTGTAAATTTTAATGGATCTATCATTGTGGGAAAACCCCAATTCGATTATCCTAAGAATCGAAGATACCAAAGCCAAAAACCCTATTAAGAAAAAAGGGGAATAGCGGCACCATAGATTGAAGGAAATGGGAGAGCATCGAATTGAGAAACCCACTATAGCCCTCTCTCTTTATAATCACAGCCCTATTTGGATCTCTACCCAAACTGCTGATGGCAACTGAGCAACCAATGCCACATATATATAGTACCTGAAATTTTAGGGTTTCCTTTCCTCTAGTTTTTTTAATTTTTTTTGTTGATATTTTTTCATGGGGAAGAGTTGTTAATTTATGATTTTATGATAATGTTTTAAGAAGAAAACAAATAAAATATTCATTAACAATTAAACATGTGTCATCCTTTTTAGGGATGGTAAAAGGTATTCGTAAAAATATTCAATGACTAAGTGCAAAAATAGATTATAAATGAGAATGATATTATAATATTCACTTGAAAAAATTGATGTATTTAAAAATTACTTTCTAATTAATTTATTTATGTGTTAGCTTTTTTATTATTTTATAATTATATATTTTGAATTTTATTATTTTATAATGAGTTTTAGTAATTTAAATATAACGATAAATATAAAATAAATTTTATTATTCATGTAAGTGTTATTTTATATATTCATTATTACAAAATATATAAATATATATATAAACTTAAAATTTGTTTGATATTCGTACATACTTGTCATCCATAAATTATACGAGGATGAAAATCGGAAGGCACTACTCGCACCCATTCACTTCCATTGTTGTCCAACCCTTTACATTAGTTTGACATACCAAATAGCATAAATGATATTGTCTCTTGATCGAATAAATAACACTTGTTTCTCCTGCAGGGCGATGAGTGTAATATATGTTTATAAATTATGGAGATTTTTGTAGGTGTAAAAAATGGAAGGGTGATTTAGGGTGATTTATACGATTCCACTAAAACTCGGGGAATTCAATGTAATTTACTCTTTTCTTTTTAATTAAAGTTGGGTTTCATTGCTTTTATATATACTAGCGTGTTGACAGGCCCTATCGGGCCTGTCAACCCGCTTTCCTATCGTATGTAACGTGTATTCTATACAAAATAAATATTTAATATCATAATTGTGTTACATATTCTAATTTGAAGTTGAATATATAGTTTTTAATTCCCCAAATAGGGCATCATATAGTTGTGTTACATATTCCTATTGTTTTTAATGTGTAATCTACATTTTATAAATGTCATATAATAATTTGTGTTAAATATTGTAATTTTCAATTGAATTTATTCGATTGAGAAATTTTTATTTACTCTCGTGTGTCAACCTATATTTCTTATGATTGGTTTGAAATATATAATTTACATGTATTAAACGTTTGACATGATATTTGAAATAATTTTATGTTCACCCATATTCCTAATTTTAGAGGGTTTTTATTTAAAATTGATAATTGGTCCATAAGTCATAAGTGTCCATAATTATTATTAAATTGACGACATATAGTTATGGAAAATGAGTGGGAATCACTTATTTTTTTTTACTCTTTGTCCATTAGTTAGGAAATCATTATCTTAGATGTCTTAAAATTATAGGAAGTGCTTCTCTAATTTTAGAGGAAGATATTGTTAGGGACGAACTCCTAATACTCATTTCATTTGGGAAACTTATTTTGATTCATGTTCCAAATTTTAGAGAGATTTTACTGATAAATGAAGATTGAATATCCTGTTGGACAATGTGAACGGTTTAAAGGCGTAAGTGTAAAACAACCGAACTAAAATTCAAATAAATTATGCTATAATTTGATTTAATGTCTCAACAAATTTGTGATGTCATGTGGTTTACCCAACTTCAAATAATATATGTCCAAATAACATATCAAGTTTTTCTTGTTTTCTCTCTTAAATTTTTTTGTTTAATATTTTTTCAGTTTTATGGTTTTTTTTTTACTTTTTATTATTATTTATCAACAATTGTTAGTGTGTTATAAAGAACATGTGAATTATCTCAAAATTGTTAAACATATATGCTCACACCCACTTATGATTTGTGGACACTTACTAAATAGGTTAGATGCCTAATTTTCTGATTACTATTGATAGTCAAGTAGTATATGATTTTTCCTACGTTATCCTTTATTTAATGATGATAATTTTTATTTTAATAATATTTTGTGTTGAGCAATATTATTGAACTTCTTTTCAAACTATACCTTAAAAAGTAAGTGTAGTTCTCAATTTGTACTAAACATCTAAGTACTCAAATTAAATAAGATAATAATAACATCAAAATCATGACAAAATAATAACCTTTTGTATTTTGACATGCCACATGTCCAATTATACTCATGAATTACCGGTTCAAGAATTTTGATTGCTAAATTAAATATTAGTACACCGATAGATGATAAATTTCAATATTTTCATATATGATGGCTTTTATAGGCACTATAGAAACAGAAAGTACATCATTTGAGAAATATTTTGCATGAATTTCCTGCCATTACTTTTCAATGGGATAAATATTTAATTGTTTTTGTTGAATTTCAAATGTAACCCTTGGAGGTAGTCCATAACCAAAAGTCATGTCAAATGTTACTAAATTATAGCTCTTTCCTCATGGAGTATATTGCAACAAAAAGTAAGGATAAAATAAATGATTAATGCATAAAAAAAAGTCTACTTTACTTATGCAAAAAAAATTTAGTTTCCTTCTCATCGATCTCAATGAAAACATAATGAAACATTAAATTAGTACTCAAGGAAAAGGGTATAGAAGAATAAAGAAAACATGATGACAAAACAATACAATTGTTTAGCAAGAAACCTTATTTCCATGAATAAAGTGAAACAACTTCCAAGAAGAAAGTGAAAACAACAACTTTGATGTGTGTTTGTGTAACTTTGAAGAGCATCAGATCCGATCCAAAAAGAATGAATTAAACAAATAAAAACTCATAACAACAATAATAATAATATGGTGTTGTTGTTCTTTTTCTCTTTCTTTTGTTCTAAATTATCTCAATGAAAACATAATGTTTTCATATGCATTTTTTTCACTTTGTTTCTTTTTGTGTATGATTTTATCAAACACATTAAGTGCACTAAGTTGGAAGAATAATTCCAATGGTGCATAATGTTGTAAGTTTAATCCTAAGCAAAAAAACTCTATGATAATTATGATGCACTTAACATCCTACATCTTAGGTTCTATGGTGCACTTACCGATATATATTTTTCATTCATCACACCACTAATAGCATAATTGTTTGGACATTATGAAAGGGAAAATGAAGAAATATATTAACAAATAGAAAATAATAAATTCATACCGCAATAAAACATATATGAATCCAAGAATACCTAAAATAAAAATGAAGTAGAAATGAAAAGTAAATAGATGTACATACCTTACATATCTAATATCTCTGTTAATAACAACTTTGATAGCTACCATGAATAGTGTCAAAAAAGTATACCGATTGACAAAATTATACCCTAAAAATAATGGAGAGAGGAAGGAAACCTAATGAAAAGGAAAAATTAGGGAAGCAAACTCAATGAGAGGAAAAAACTACGGAGAGAGAAAGATGAAATGAGAGAGGAAGCAAACCTCCGAAGAAAAATGAAATGAGAAAGGAGTCTGAAATTGATAATAGAGATACATCAATTTACAATTGTGGAAGTTATTTGATAGTAACTGCAAGTTTGAAATACAGAGGTTACTCACATTTAACAATTATAATATTTAGATGTGTTAGTTTGTTTTGCAGTTTAAAAGTGGAAGAATATAGAAGTTACTTTACTAATAAGAGTGGGTTAGCAGTTTCAATTGCAGTTGAAACTAAAACTCTTTAATGACATTATAAACTTATACATACTACTCCAAATTTAATCATTTTTTTATACTTATTATTTCTTACTTAAAAACTTAAACAAAAATATTACTTCATCTTTTTCTCACATATGTTTATATATATTTACATTGCTCACATTCTTATATTTACATTGCTATTATATTTATACTGCTACATTTATGGTACATAAATTATGGGTGTCTTTATATACTTTTTATATCCATCGTTTATTTTTTTAAGTTAAACAATAAATATATTTATTTACATTATCTTTCATTAAAATATGTCATCTCTCCTATTTCTTTTGGGGAATTGTAAATATAATATATGTTCTAACATTACATTAGAAAATAAGTAATGTTCTTAAATTCAAGGAATGATTTTATATTTATGGTCCTTATTTTTAATTAAGTCATGTTCTTAAATTCAAATTTTAGGAATGTATTAAAACCATGTATTTCCTATATAATAATGTCCAAGTGGTAAGTTGTTATAAGGAATATACATGTAAATGTGCTATAAGGTGTTATATATGGTTTTTTTGTAAAATTTATAATTTAACAAGGGCAAATAAGGCAAAACACAAATTACACCATGGTGGTGGTTATTTTGTGTTTTGCCTTTATTAGTAGTATAGATTAGTAGTATAGATATAGATATATATATGTGCGCGCGTGCATATGCATGTAGGTGTGTTTCTGAATGTTAGATTTTTTGAATGTGACATAAACCATGAAAGCCTTTTGCAGGTATTTCACGTAGCTGCAAATACATCATCTTCACCTTCACAACACACATCGAAACTATTTTACTACATTAATTCCTGACAAATAAAAATTTGAAACCAAAAATCAGAAATAGACAAGCAACCGGAAAAAAGAATAATATTTTATGATATTAGAATTGAATTAATGTACAAAAATTACGCCG